CCGCAAGGACACTGATGGAGACTCCTTAGGAGAGCAGGGGCTGCGGGGACAACCTGACTCTGCTGTGCGCAACCCACAGGGTGCTGGGGCCTGGAGGGAGGGACAGGGATCGGCATGCCCAGGGGATGGTGAGGGGTGGGAGGAAGAGTAAGAGATGGCAGTGGGGATGGGAACGGGGTGGAATGGGGATAGAGACGGGCAAGGCTAGCACTAGGGCAGATCCAGGTCAGGTTCCTGCTCCGCCACTGTCCCTGCAGGCACAAAGGGTGTCACTGAGCTGACTTGTGCCCCAGGCCTGCCGCTCCAAAAGGACTGACCCAGCAAACCACAGGGGAACGGGGCATAGTCCCACCTGGGGGTGCTCCAGGGGTGGCACTGGCGGCTGGCGTGACTACAGGGAACAAGCTGCAGCCCCGGGGGGCTGTACTGTCACCCCCAGCTCTGCCACCTGCTCCTACAGGGCTCTGGGGAGTGGGTGTGAATGCTGCAGAAGCCTTGGGAGGCTTGGCAGCCGGCACTGTGCTTTTAAAGAAATGAGATGGGGAATGAAATATGCCCAAGGCAGGAGAGGATCGATAGCTGGCCCATAGCCTGCACTCGCCTCAGGCACATCTTGGCCATCTCGAGCCACAGGGCACAGGCCGGTGCCCGCTGGCTCCTTCCCTTGGCAGACCCGGCAATGCTGCGGCAGAGAAAGCGTCAGCCCTCACCGCCACCGCACCAGCCCCAGAGCCATTGCACCCAGAGCCCCATGGGGTGCAACTGGGAGTCCCAGTGCCTCCACCGCACGGGAAAGAGCATCCCCGCAGCCCACCGCCACCTGGCCCAAGCATCACTCGATCTCCAATCCCACCCTAGCCAAGCAGAGCAGATCAGCAAAGCAAAACACTGGGGGCTGCTGAGTCAGAGCGTGGGCTGCCACGGAAGAGCCCGCTGCCAGCGGCACCCATATGCCGGGTGGGGGGACAGCTCGGCAGGAGGGGGCTGAGGACTCGCCAGGCTGCTTCCCATCGTAACGGGGCCCC